GGAAGAGGAAAGATCTAAAACATGGGTATTATTCATATATACTGCATATACAATGCCTTCAGAAAGTATTCATACCCCTTGACTTTTTCCACATTTTGTTGTGTTACAGGCTGAATTTAAATGGATTAAATTGATATTTATTGTCACTGGCCTAAACACAACACCCCATAATGTGGAATTATGTTTTTCAAAATAAAAAGCTAAAATGTCTTGAGTCAATAAGTATTCAACCCCTTTGTTATGACGAGCCAAAAATAAGTTCAGGAGTACAAATGTGCTTAACAAGTCACGTAATAAGTTGCATGGACTCACTCTGTGTGCAATAAGTGTTTAGCATGAGTTTTGAATTACTACGTCATCGCAGTACACAATACATACAACTATCTGTAAGGTCCCTCAGTTGAGCAGTGAATTTCAAACACAGATTCAACCACAAAGACCAGTGAGGTTTTCCAACGCCTCACAAAGAAGGGCACCTATTGGTAGATAAATCAATTACAAAAAGAAACAGACATTGAATATCCCTTTGAACATGGTGAAGTTATTATTTACACTTTGGATGGTGTATCAATACAGTGAGGGAAAAAAGTATTTGATCCCCTGCTGATTTTGTAAGTTTGCCCACTGACAAAGACATGATCAGTCTATAATTTTAATGGTAGGTTTATTTGAACAGTGAGAGACAGAATAACAACAAAAAAATCCAGAAGAACGCATGTCAGAAATGTTATCAATTGATTTGCATTTTAATGAGGGAAATAAGTATTTGACCCCTCTGCAAAACATGACTTAGTACTTGGTGGCAAAACCCTTGTTGGCAATCACAGAGGTCAGATGTTTCTTGTAGTTGGCCACCAGGTTTGCACACATCTCAGGAGGGATTTTGTCCCACTCCTCTTTGCAGATCTTCTCCAAGTCATTATGGTTTCGAGTCTGACGTTTGGCAACTCAAACCTTCAGCTCCCTCCACAGATGGCTAGGCCACTCCAGGACCTTAATGTGCTTCTTCTTGAGCCACTCCTTTGTTGCCTTGGCCGTGTGTTTTGGGTCATTGTCATGCTGGAATACCCATCCATGACCCATTTTCAATGCCCTGGCTGAGGGAAGGAGGTTCTCACCCAAGATTTGACAGTACATGGCCCCGTCCATCGTCCCTTTGATGCGGTGAAGTTGACCTGTCCCCTTAGCAGAAAAACACCCCCAAAGCATAATGTTTCCACCTCCATGTTTGACGGAGGGGATAGTGTTCTTAGGGTCATAGGCAGCATTCCTCCTCGAGTTGAGTTGATGCCAAAGAGCTCGATTTTGGTCTCATCTGACCACAACACTTTCACCCAGTTCTCCTCTGAATCATTCAGATGTTCATTGGCAAACTTCAGACGGCCCTGTATATGTGCTTTCTTGAGCAGGGGGACCTTGCAGGCGCAGCAGGATTTCAGTCCTTCACGGCGTAGTGTGTTACCAATTGTTTTCTTGGTGACTATGGTCCCAGCTGCCTTGAGATCATTGACAAGATCCTCCCGTGTAGTTCTGGGCTGATTCCTCACCGTTCTCATGATCATTGCAACTCCACGAGGTGAGATCTTGCATGGAGCCCCAGGCCGAGGGAGATTGACAGCTATTTTGTGTTTCTTCCATTTGCAAATAATCGCACCAACTGTTGTCACCTTCTCACCAAGCTGCTTGGCGATGGTCTTGTAGCCCATTCCAGCCTTGTGTAGGTCTACAATCTTGTTGTTATTCTGTCTCTCACTGTTCAAATAAACCTACCATTAAAATTATAGACTGATCATTTCTTTGTCAGTGGGCAAACATACAAAATCTGCAGGGGATCAAATACTTTTTTTTCCTCACTATATACCCAGTCACTACAAAGATACAGGTGTCCTTCCTAACTCAAGGAAACAGCTCAGGGATTTCACCATGAGGCCAATGGTGACTTTAAAACAGTTACAGAGTTTAATGGCTGTGATAGGAGAAAACTGAGGATGGATCAACAACATTGTAGTTACTCCACAATACTAACCTAATTGACAGAGTGAAAAGAAGGAAGACTGTACAGAAAATAAATATCCCAAAACATGCATCCTGCTTGCAACAAGGCACTAAAGTAATAATACTGCAAAAAATGTAGCAAAGCAATTCACTTTTTGTCCTGAATACAAAGTGTTATGTTTGGGGCAAATCCAATACAACACATTACTGAATACCACTCTCCTTAGTATAGTGGTGGCTGCATCATGTTATGGGTATGATTGTAATCGTTAAGGACTGGGGCGTTTTTCAGGATAAAAAAATTACGGAATGGAGCTAAGCACAGGCAAAATACTAGAGGAACACCTGGTTGTCTGCTTTCCACCAGACACTGGGAGATTAATTCACCTTTCAGCAGGACAACAACCTAAAACACAAGGCCGAATCTACCCTGGAGTTGCTTACCAAGAAGACAGTGAATGTTCCTGAGTGGCCAAGTTACAGTTTTGACTTAAATCTACTTGAAAATCTATGGGAAGACCTGAAAATGGTTGTATAGCAATGATCAACAACCAATTTGACAGAGCTTGAAGAATTTAGAAAATAATACCAATTTGTAAGTCGCTCTGGATAAGAGCGTCTGCTAAATGATGTAAATGTAATAATGGGCAAATATTGTACAATCCAGGTGTGCAAAGCTTTTAGAGACTTACCCAGAAAGACTCACAGCTGTAATCGCTGCCAAAGGTGCTTCTACAAAGTATTGACTCAGGTGTGAATACTTATGTAAATGTTTTCAATACATTTGTTAACATTTCTAAAAACATGTTTAAACTTTGTCATTATGGGTTATTGTGTGTAGATGGGTGAGAGAAAAAAAATATATTTCAGCCATTTTGAATTCAGGTTGTAACACAACAAAATGTGGAATAAGTCCACAGTATGAATACTTTCTGAAGGCACTGTATATGGAAATAATAAATATGATTGTATAATTTATACTAACCATATTTATGCATTTTTTTCTCTTTACAATATTTAATTTAGAGTACAATTAACAATGCTGTAAGAAACAAGTGAATGCCTTCTTCAATTACGATATTCAACATTAGATTTACAATAAGGAATGGATATCCCAATCATTTTCAAAACCGTAAGATAACTGAACTGCATGCTTTCATAGTAAAACTGAAGCATTGTGCAAGTGAAAGCTTTTCTCTTTTGATTTTGCATAGGAACTGTTTGACAGTTATTTACCCCACTATCACCTGTTGGAGCCGCACAATGAATAATACTTTTCATACCTCGTTTGTGTAGAGATTAAAATTGAGAAACAGTATCTAATGTATTCTTAATGCTCTTCAACTATACTTCAAATACATGCCATAGAAAAAAAGAGAAAATACCTTTGAATAGCTGCTGGTTTTGTTCCCGAGAAAAAAAACACTGTTCTGGGAAGGCGGTTGTTAATCCACTGGGCCTGTGTGCCTGCCAGACTATAGGGAAAATAGAAAATAGAAACTCAAACCCAAACCAATACAGTGACATTGTATCAACATCAAATAGAGAGCCAATCCGACATGCAAAACATTCTGGGCGACTATTAGGAGGGAGCAGTCCTTTTTGCTCATCTGGTGTTTTGGCATTCAACTCAAAACATATAAGACATACTGTAACTGGGATTCAGTAAGCTGGGAGTGCTGAGAAAGACATCTGATATGTGTGAAGAGAGAGAGAAGGAGAGAGACAGCCAGAAGGTGGTCAACAGCAGATCTCTCATTACGAGGGGCTATCTAAACCTGTTTGACTGAGCCGAAGATAATAGACCAATCCATCACTGAAGAACTGTGCAGTATCACTGTCAGAAGCAAACAGCTTCACAGAGAGCAGTCTATCAGTTGTGAAATACATGGTAGTACCTTGTATTGTGGCTGTGAATATTTTTACTATAGAAAACAGAATAAGTCTCTCTCTCCTTCAGCCACAAAAGGACAGCGTTGATCATCATCATAATCAATATATACCAGTTGAACATGGCTGATGATTTTTGAACATCACAAAAGGCAGTTAAAATCATCTTGTAAGTCGCTCTGGATAAGAGCGTCTGCTAAATGATGAAAATGTAAATGTAAATCTTAAAGACATTTTAACCAATGCTGCAAGAGGTCCAGTTCTCTCAATGGCCAGTAGATGTCAGTGTTTCTACATCCCTTCACTAGTCACAGAACAAGCTGAAGTGGCTGCCTTATTCCATGTCCATCTATCTCTGTGTGTTTGGGCACACATGCACAGTACAGCTCCAGTCAACTAGTTTTCACAGGATAAATACTATAAGAAACCACTTCTCTGCCTTGGTTTATACTCAGTGTGCAACCAGCGGTGTGGAGTAGAAGAGGCTGGGGCATAATACTTCACCCCAAATTTGTTCCAGCTCTTTGCAGATCTGTTCAGCAGTGCAGTCCTTTGACTGAATAAGAGGAAAGACAAACTGAAACTGTAAAGGGCAATAATGAGAGACTAAAAGCTAGAACATTACATAAAAAAAGAAAATAATTATCAGGCAGTAACAGTCTCTGGAATATACACCTCTTTGGCTTCCCAGTATGATGATGGACACCTTCAGTGACGTCCGTGTCCATTGTAAGATCTGTCAAGCCAAGGAGTCCACAAAGAGGCACCTCACACACTTAAACACCTATGGCCAGAAATGAGATCGTTCAGATTCACCAACAAATGTTTCCTTGATGGATACGACTCATAAAGAGTAGCGTGGTAGTTATAACCGGTCAGACGACATGCGGTACCTAGAGCTGTTGGAGACAATTTGAGATTACATCACTTGCTGCAGACTGTAGAAAAATGTCCTTCCAAATCAGACATTCAGACTACAAATCTAGACAAACAAAAGGCCTAAAAGTAGAAAAACATAAATGTTCATATAACAAGATTCAAATAAATGGTGTATTTCATAGTTCCCTGCAATGACATCAGCTAAAGAGCTGACTTTCTCTTATAGAAATGTGATTCCAAGCCAAGGGGAGAATAGAAGATTCTGTCTTGTTTTCTCATCGGGAAAAGTGTTGGCTCATTTTCTTCCTTTTGCTTTGATTGTTATCTGTATATAATAGATATCCAGGGTAAATACATGTACAGTGAAGGAAAGTGATGACAGTAAAGGGTTATTTTCCTGTTTCATCCCATCTTTTTCAATATCGAAACAACATTTACAAAAACACCAACGATCAAAGTAAACTTAAACTCTACAGAGCAAACAAGCAAAAAAAGTATCTTGTTAAATGAATAGAAAAAGGTGCTATATAGTATTTATATATATTTATATATGAACAGAGCTGCAATTCTTCCTCTTGAAGAACATGTTTTTTGTAAGTGCCATGGTTCGTAGTCTTTGTGTAGTAGGCGTGTGTATTCAAAGTTGCACCTGATGTGTTTCCTTCGTATAATCTAGTATCAACCAATTGTCACTTGATAATAATAAAAAATAGGAGGAGGCAGGGTTTGTTTTTGGTTTCTATGTTTGCCTTCATATTGCAGTGCCCTCCGGTAAGTGTGAGGGCATTGGGTGGAAGTGAGGCCAGGGTCACTCGGTGTAGTAGGGCTGACATGAAGGAGGAGAATAAATTACTGTTAGCGTTGTTGAAATGATCTGACACACGATGAGGTCTGCTCAGCGCGAGGGAGATGAGAGGTTATGCTAAGGTTTGTTTGAGGTCGAGGGTTGGTTTGGGAAAGGCCCCTGCTGTTGATTTGGAGAGCAGTTCTTGGAGCCTCAGTAGCGGTGTGATTGGTGGGAGTACTGTGAGCTCTGCTGGGACGACGACGAGTATCCCTGGGACTGAGCGGAACCTTGGATGTTGCTTTGGTATCCAAGGCGGGAGTTGGAGTGCTGGAGAGGAGAGAAGAGAAGAGAAGAGAATGGAGAGGAAATAGTAAACCTTTGATGGCTAGAGACCCCTGTCATTAATTATTTATCACTCAGCACCACTGGAAAATACCAGCTTATTTCAACCTTGCATGGGGTTTGAGAATAAATAATTAAATAACTGTACCTTAGGAGACCTTGAGGGAGGGAAATGTACCATATCAATTGTAAAGCTGGCTGAATCATTTATAGATCAAGAATGAGTCCAATAGAAAAGCATGAGGCATAGCCACAGATCTGTAGTGTTTATCAACATACTGCCATGGCTTTCCACTGTTGTTTACTTGGTATCCAAAGATGTGGACTACTTTCTCATGGATTTCTAACAGAATTAGCAAGAGACTACCGACCCAATTCAGAGCAATTTACAGTGCCATGACAATTCTATATCCTAAACACTATACTGTATATCAAGTGACTGAGTAAAACGTGCAGTGGCTGATGCCAAAAACCTGCTGCATGTTTGATTCAATGGTTCCTATGATTGCTTTTGTTGGTCTGAATAAATACATGATCTGGGTGACTGAGCCACCACATCATTAGACATCAAAAGAAGGGCTAACTAACCACCTTATACTACAGCTATAAAGAAAGCTGGCTCTGTATCAGGTGACTGATTACTGACCGTGACTCACTCTAACCAGCTCAGACTGGGCCTAAGGCCAAATGTCCTAAAAAGGCAAAAAAAAAGGCAGAAGTCACTGGCCTTCAGATGAGAAACCCTTCTTCTGAGCCACCAGAGTGGCCCTGAGGACCTGCTGCTGGACTGGGACCCAGGGGGCTTGGATGGAGGGTGGAGGGGATAGGAGAAGAACGTGGCTGAAACTCCTGAAGTATGGAGACCTCTGCCAAACTACTCTCATTCATCTCTGACTACAACCCACACGTCGCCGCCTGCCTAGCAGTCTATCTATCTACACTCACAGAGAGAGAGAGGGGGAGCGAGTGGTGCACATTGGGATACTATGGCCTCGGGGAGAGTGATCAATGAGGAGAAAAGTAGGGCGTGGAATGTGACGCCACAGCAAGCTAGCTCTCTGTTCCACTCTGTCTGCCCATCCAGAAAGCAAGGGGATATTTATACATCTGTTCTGGTGAGGCTTGACTTTGAAGAGCCCAGCAGCTGTCCACATGAAGCCTCAGCCCCCCTGCTAACTATAGCCTAGTCAGTCAGTCAGTCCAGCAGCACCCCACACGGCCCGGGCCTAGCCAGGAGGAGACACCTCTGAACAGACCACAGTTGAGGTCCAGACAAGGTCAGGGAGATCACCTTTATCTCACCTTCCTCATCCATAATACACTCTCTCTTCCTCTCTACCATGTTCTCCACTCTGTCACCTTTATCAGTCACTACTCCAGTCACCCGAGCCACGGACTGTTCACTCTGTTACCATCTGGCAAGCGGTATCAGAGTATCGGGTATCCAAGACAGCTTCTTCCACCAGGCCATCAGACTGCTGAAAAGTTAAACCTAGCTGTCTTCCTGCACAGACCTGTACCTCAGAGACTATCTGCACCTTAGAGATTATTTGCACTGACTATAAAAACACACACAAGCACACACAGTCAACGCTGCTGTTCTAATACGTACTATTGATTCCACTACCCACTTTATACACTGAGTGTACAAAACATTAAGGACACCTTCTCTTTCCATGACATAGGCTGACCAGGTGAAACCTTCAACCTTGTGGAATGCTTTCGACACCTTGTAGAGTCCATGCTCCAACGAGGCTGTTCTGAGGGCAAAAGGGGGGTATAACTCAATATTAGGAAGGCGTTCCTAATGTTTGGTACACTCAGTGTATTTGTAAATCCATTCTTACTATGCATACTACGTCTTCTATTACTTTCTCTTATTGACTTGACTCTTATTGTTATTATTGATTAAATGTAATGCATTGTTGAGGGAGCTAGCGTCTCTCTCACACACACACACACACACTCACACTCACACAGTTAAAGTCGGAAGTTTACATACACCTTAGCCAAATACATTCAAACTCAGTTTTTCACAATTCCTGACATTTAATCCTAGTAGAAATTCCCTGTTTTAGGTCAGTTATGATCACCACTTTATTTTAAGAATGTGAAATGTCAGAATAATAGTAGAGAGAATGATTTATTTCAGCTTTGATTTCTTTCATCACATTCCCAGTGGGTCAGAAGATTACATACACTCAATTAGTATTTGGCAGCATTGCCTTTAAATTGTTTAACTTGGGTCAAACGTTTCGGGTAGCCTTCCACAAGCTTCCCACAATAAGTTGGGTGAATTTTGGCCCATTCCTCCTGACAGAGCTGGTGTAACGGAGACAGGTTTGTAGGCCTCCTTGCTCGCACACGCTTTTTCAGTTCTGCCCACAAATGTTCTATAGGATTGAGGTCAGGGCTTTGTGATGGCCATTCCATACCTTGACTTTGTTGTCCTTAAGCTATAGCTTTGAAAGTATGCTTGGGGTCATTGTCCATTTGGAAGACCCATTTGCGACCAAGCTTTAACTTCCTGACTGATGTCTTGAGATGTTGCTTCAATATATCCACATAATTTTCCTTCCTCATGATGCCATCTATTTTGTGAAGTGCACCAGTCCCTCCTGCAGCAAAGCACCCCCACAGCATGATGCTGCCACCCCTGTGTTTCACGGTTCGGATGGTGTTCTTCAGCTTGCAAGCAACCCACTTTTTCCTCCAAACATAACGATGGTCAATATGGCCAAACAGTTCTGTTTTTGTTTCATCAGACCAGAGGACATTTTCCAAAAAGTACAATCTTTGTCCCCATGTGCAGTTGCAAACCGTAGTCTGGCTTTTTTATGGTAGTTTTGGAGCAGTGGCTTCTTCTTGCTGAGCGGCCTTTCAGGTTATGTCAATATAGGACTCGTTTTACTGTGGATATAGATACTTTTGTACCTGTTTCCTCCAGCATCTTCACAAGGTCCTTTGCTGTTGTTCTGGGATTGATTTGCACTTTTTGCACCAAAATACGTTCATCTCTAGGAGACAGAACGCGTCTCCTTCCTGAGCGGTATGATGGCTGTGTGATCCCATGGTGTTTATACTTGCGTACTATTGTTTGTACAGATGAACGTGGTACCTTCAGGCGTTTGGAAATTGCTCCCAAGGATGAACTTGACTTGTGGAGGTCAAAAAAAAATTTCTGAGGTCTTGGCTGATTTCTTTTGATTTTACCATGATGTCAAGCAAAGAGGCACTGAGTTTGAAGGTACGCCTTGAAATACATCCACAGGTACACCTCCAATTGACTCAAATGATGTCAATTAGCCTATCAGAAGCTTCTAAAGCCATGATATCATTTTCTGGGATTTTCCAAGCTGTTTAAAGGCAGAGTCAACTTAGTGTATGTAAACTTCTGACCCACTGGAATTGTGATACAGTGAATTATAAGTGAAATAATCTGGTCTGTAAACAATTGTTGGAAAAATTACTTGTGTCATGCACAAAGTAGATCCTGAATCCAATTGAGCACATCTGGGACATCATGTCTCGCTCCATCCACCAACGCCACGTTGCACCACAGACTGTCCAGGAGTTGGCGGATCCTTTAGTCCAGGTCTGGGAGGAGATCCCTCAGGAGACCATCCGCCACCTCATCAAGAGCATGCCCAGGCATTGTAGGGAGGTCATACAGTCACGTGGAGGCCACACACACTACTGAGCCTCATTTTGACTTGTTTTAAGGACATTACATCAAAGTTGGATCAGCCTGTAGTGTGGTTTTCCACTTTAATTTTGAGGGTGACTCCAAATCCAGACCTCCATGGGTTGATAAATTTGATTTCCATTGATAATTTTTGTGTGATTTTGTTGTCAGCACATTCAACTATGTAAAGAAAAAAGTATTTAATAAGATTATTTCATTCATTCAGATCTAGGATGTGTTATTTTAGTGTTCCCTTTTATTTTTTTGAGCAGTGTATATACAGTGGGGGAAAAAAGTATTTAGTCAGCCACCAATTGTGCAAGTTCTCCCACTTAAAAAGATGAGAGAGGCCTGTAATTTTCATCATAGGTACACGTCAACTATGACAGACAAATTGAGGAAAAAAATTTCAGAAAATCACATTGTAGGATTTTTAATGAATTTATTTGCAAATTATGGTGGAAAATAAGTATTTGGTCACCTACAAACAAGCAAGATTTCTGGCTCTCACAGACCTGTAACTTGTTCTTTAAGAGGCTCCTCTGTCCTCCACTCGTTACCTGTATTAATGGCACCTGTTTGAACTTGTTATCAGTATAAAATACACCTGTCCACAACCTCAAACAGTCACACTCCAAACTCCACTATGGCCAAGACCAAAGAGCTGTCAAAGGACACCAGAAACAAAATTGTAGACCTGCACCAGGCTGGGAAGACTGAATCTGCAATAGGTAAGCAGCTTGGTTTGAAGAAATCAACTGTGGGAGCAATTATTAGGAAATGGAAGACATACAAGACCACTGATAATCTCCCTCGATCTGGGGCTCCACGCAAGATCTCACCCCGTGGGGTCAAAATGATCACAAGAACAGTGAGCAAAAATCCCAGAACCACACAGGGGGACCTAGTGAATGACCTGCAGAGAGCTGGGACCAAAGTAACAAAGCCTACCATCAGTAACACACTACGCCGCCAGGGACTCAAATCCTGCAGTGCCAGACGTGTCCCCCTGCTTAAGCCAGTACATGTCCAGGCCCGTCTGAAGTTTGCTAGAGTGCATTTGGATGATCCAGAAGAGGATTGGGAGAATGTCATATGGTCAGATGAAACCAAAATAGAACTTTTTGGTAAAAACTCAACTCGTCGTGTTTGGAGGACAAAGAATGCTGAGTTGCATCCAAAGAACACCATACCTACTGTGAAGCATGGGGGTGGAAACATCATGCTTTGGGGCTGTTTTTCTGCAAAGGGACCAGGACGACTGATCCGTGTAAAGGAAAGAATGAATGGGGCCATGTATCGTGAGATTTTGAGTGAAAACCTCCTTCCATCAGCAAGGGCATTGAAGATGAAATGTGGCTGGGTCTTTCAGCATGACAATGATCCCAAACACACCGCCCGGGCAACGAAGGAGTGGCTTCGTAAGAAGCATTTCAAGGTCCTGGAGTGACCTAGCCAGTCTCCAGATCTCAACCCCATAGAAAATCTTTGGAGGGAGTTGAAAGTCTGTGTTGCCCAGCGACAGCCCCAAAACATCACTGCTCTAGAGGAGATCTGCATGGAGGAATGGGCCAAAATACCAGCAACAGTGTGTGAAAACCTTGTGAAGACTTACAGAAAACGTTTGACCTGTGTCATTGCCAACAAAGGGTATATAACAAAGTATTGAGAAACGTTTGTTTTTGACCAAATACTTATTTTCCACCATAATTTGCTAATAAAATCATAAAAAATCCTACAATGTGATTTTCTGGATTTTTTTTCCTCATTTTGTCTGTCATAGTTGACGTGTACCTATGATGAAAATTACAGGCCTCTCTCATCTTTTTAAGTGGGAGAACTTGCACAATTGGTGGCTGACTAAATACTTTTTTCCCCCACTGTATATATATATGATAGGGGCAGAGCCAAAGATAGAGCAGGCGCCAAGAGGGGGAACAACAGTGAGAGGGCAGCACAATGTTTTGCTGACACCTTTATCAGCAGGCTAGTGTGAACTAGAGGAAGGACATTTTCATCCTGATATAACATGACCTGTATTCCTACTAGCTAGCACAATGTTCTGCTCTGGTCTGAGTTGAGGCTGTTGTGTCTGTTCACTGAACATACACAACAAGTGTTGCATGTCCCTGACATACCCTGCTGTACGTGTCTGTACGCATCTTTGCTCTCTTGTCAAATTAATCATCAATAAAGGAACACTAGTTCCTTCAGGTCCCCCAAGGGTCTATATTGACATTTTGGATGAAGTAATATGTTGACATTTTGAATCAATTACATTTGGTGACATTTGGATTAAGCAAATTTAAATATCTAATCTCTAGATAATAAATTTAGGCATGCTTCTCAAAAGACAACAACCACAAGCGATCAACCATTGGTGACTGAAGCGATGTCATCGCCTTTCATCTCCTTTCAATGAAAATGGACAGTAACACTATGGATAAGTGTAAAGCTGTAAAAACTCTAACCTGGTACTCTGACTGGTGGACCCCAGTGCCTGAGGAGGCCCCAGAGGGCCCGATCCGAGGTTTCTTGTTTGGGGGCCCCTGGTCCTGGCCGTGCTGGAGGCCTCCACCCGTGTTGGCTCCCGTAGAACCTGTGTTACCGTTGGTCTGGGCAGAGCTCTGTTGAGTGGAGGCTTGCTGGGTGCCGCTCTGCTGCTGGGCCTGGGTCTGAGCTGTCGTCTGCTGGTGCTGTTGGGCCTGGTTCTGATGAAGGACAGACACACACAAGTCTTCAGTTAGAGAGATACAGAGTAACAGTGACTGTAATAACCTCCCGTTGTGCACCAACACCCTGACAGGTTCCTTGGAGTAACAGTGTAGTCAGACATTCATACACAATGCATTGCATACACAATGTACAAAAGGTCACTATGGAAAATGCTCACTCACAAAATGGTATCAAGACAACATTACTGTTCAACAACAGCCAAATGAACAATGTCTCACTGATCTATCATTGTCACCCTCCCCAACAGTTGGGAACTGGTTAGTACATTATGTACCCAATATTGTGGTCAGGGGTTTGTTTGGTTTTGAAAAACAGTGCGCTGAGATGTTTACAGGAATTACGCCCTCAGCCCAGCATACCACTTCTCAACCACAGGAGGTTGGTGGCACCTGGCTGGAGCGGAATAGTGGAATGGTATCAAATACATCAAACACATCCATGTGTTTGATGCCATTCCATTTGCGCCATTCCAGCCATTATGAGCAGTCCTCCCCACAGCAGCCTCCTGTGTTCTCAACATATCCACGACCACAAGGCTGAGACATGTGAACCTTAGGGTCAGCGAAAACAATGAGTCCCTCTCATACCCTCTGGGCCCAGGTTGGCAGAAAGGTACCGTAGCCTTCCTGACGGCTGCTCTGAGGCAACACTTGTATCAGGTGTTGCCTACTTGACAACAGCTGCTAATGTGATGCAGGGCTGGGGAATGGCAGAGACTGCTCTGTGGGGAGGGGACTGGTATCTTTCTGGCTGTCGTACACTCATACGCTCGGTGTCATACAAGCACCTGCTTTCTGTATGGTCTGGTATATTCACAACATGGTGTTTGATACTCATGATATGGAACCAGCCAGCCTACATTATCAGTAACAGTATGGTCCAAATAAAGCCTCCTGTAGCCTATCTGCTATCAGGGGAAAGGCTCAACATTAGTGAACTTTACCTTAAGTGAGATATGCATCTAGAGCTTAGTGAGATATGCAGGGACGCAACTTTGGTTTTAGAAGTGGGGGGGACATATTATTGTTTTATATATATTTTTTTAATCCAGCCGGATAAACACTCCAAAACAGCCTACCCGATCACTTGGAGGCGTCCGCATGGTCCTAAAGCACACCGTTGCCTCGTTTTGTATCACATTCCAATGATAAAACTGGGGGGGGGGGGGGCATGTCCCCCCCCGTCCCCAGTGAAAGTTGCACCCCTGAAGATATGCATCGAGAGTGTATGACAGAGAAGGCCTGGGATTTCCTCTGTGAACTAAAGACCAACACCTGACAAACTTCAGTTTGACCTTCTTTCTCTTCTTATCTTTGTTTAGCACGTGCTATCAGGGGGCAGGCTAACTGGAGAGCCTTTACCTCCAGAGGTCATTGGACCTCCCCTCTTCTGGAGTGCTGGGTGCAGCTGCTGCTGTTTGTGCAGCTTGTCCTTATTATCCCATGGCATGCCTTTCCCTCACCTAAAACACTGACTCCTTTATTGCATAGGACACAAGTAGAGATGAAAGTTGACAAGATGTGAACTCATGCTGCAGCGGTATATGTGATCCTGAGGCTCATGCTGCAGCGGTATATGTGATCCTGAGGCAGTGTTTTAGGCCAGTGGTTCCCAAACTTTTTCACTTGGGACCCCCTTCCATCATTTTGCCATGTCTTATGTGTGTTCATGTGATATCTGAGTGACTCAAACATTACAACAAAATCAATGGGCTAAAAAACCTAGCTAAAAAACTGACATGGGCTAGTTGATTTGGAGTTATAAATAGCTAAGGTATGCAATGACTGACATGACGAGAGGAAAACTGCTGATGCACTACTTAATTTCGAAATTGCACCTTGTGTATTATACTATTACTTTCAAGAGTAAGTTGAAAGCCCGACTGAGTTCCTTAAAAAACAAATAATTATTTAAAAAAGAGGGACTTACAGTGAGGGAAAAAAGTTTTTGATCCCCTGCTGATTTTGTACGTTTGCCCACTGACAAAGAAATGATCAGTCTATAATTTTAATGGTAGGTTTATTTGAACAGTGAGAGACAGAATAACAACAACAAAATCCAGAAAACGCATGTCAAAAATGTTATACATTGATTTGCATTTTAATTAGGGAAATAGTATTTGACCCCCTCTCAATCAGAAAGATTTCGGGCTCCCAGGTGTCTTTTATACAGGTAACGAGCTGAGATTAGGAGCACACTCTTAAAGGGAGTGCTCCTAATCTCAGTTTGTTACCTGTATAAAAGACACCTGTCCACAGAAGCAATCAATCAATTAGATTCCAAACTCTCCACCATGGCCAAAGAACTCTCCAAGGATGTCAGGGACAAGATTGTAGACTTACACAAGGCTGGAATGGGCCTCGCCAAGCAGCTTGGTGAGAAGGTGACAACAGTTGGTGCGATTATTGGCAAATGGAAGAAACACAAAATAGCTGTCAATCTCCCTTGGCCTGGGGCTCCATGCAAGATCTCACCTCGTGGAGTTGCAATGATCATGAGAACAGTGAGGAATCAGCCCAGAACTACACGGGAGGATATTGTCAATGATCTCAAGGCAGCTGGGACCATAGTCACCAAGAAAACAATTGGTAACACACTACGCCGTGAAGGACTGAAATCCTGCAGCGCCCGCAAGGTCCCCCTGCTCAAGAAAGCACATATACAGGTCCGTCTGAAGTTTGCCAATGAACATCTGAATGATTCAGAGGAGAACTGGGTGAAAGTGTTGTGGTTAGATGAGACCAAAATCGAGCTCTTTGGCATCAACTCAACTCGCCGTGTTTGGAGGAGGAGGAATGCTGCCTATGACCCCAAGAACACCTTCCCCACAGTCAAACATGGAGGTGGAAACATTATGCTTTGGGGGGCTTTTTCTGCTAAGGGGACAGGACAACTTCACCGCATCAAAGGGACGATGGACGGGGCCATGTACCGTCAAATCTTGGGTGAGAACCTCCTTCCCTCAGCCAGGGCATTGAAAATGGGTCGTGGATGGGTATTCCAGCATGACAATGACCCAAAACACACGGCCAAGGCAACAAAGGAGTGGCTCAAGAAGAAGCAAATTAAGGTCCTGGAGTGGCAAACGTACAAAATCAGCAGGGGATCAAATACTTTTTTCCCCTCACTGTATATATTGAGGCGTAACTTAGCTAGCCATGTTGGCAATAGAACACACTTTCAAATGATGCCGACATGACCAGATTGTGATTTATAATGGAGCGTTTTTGGAACGTGTAAACAACAACAGGAATTGTGTAAAGGCGGGGATGCAGGGCTGTGTTCCAAATGAAACAACTACAAGTCTGCTTGCTCTAGTTCCTCAACGACATAGCTATGAGAGCTCAAAATAGAACCTTATAGTTGAAGACTCTTCATTGAGTCATAAAAATGCATTACGTAGGACCTGTGCACACTTTGGAGAGGTGTGTGGCCACTTTGAGAAACCAGTTAGACCTCTCACTCAAACCCTTGTCATTTTTTTGTCTTATGTTGCACCTACCCACATTTTCTATGAATATTTCTATCATGTTACTGAATGTATCATGAGTATTTTCATATTTCGTTATCAACAAATGTGGCGAAAAGTACAGTAAATGTAAAATGCACATAAAATCCACAGTGTAATGTTTGGATTCAGTCTTGTGTCAGTTTAACTGTTTTGTCCTCACCTTTAGTCTAATAATTTTCCAATAATCTCCAAACTGTTCCCTTTTAATTGCTACCATGGTTATGCATATGCTTTCCATATTCCTTCTGTAAGACACATTTCAATTGATCCCTATCCATATAGGCCAATTCCCACGAGTGTAAAGGGTTAAGGTGTTTTGGTTCTCTCTAGACAGCATGATGACAATTGTTAATAACAGCATATTTATTTTTATTTTTTATTTCACCTTTATTTAACCAGGTAAGCCAGTTGAGAACAAGTTCTCATTTCCAACTGCGACCTGGCCAAGATAAAGCAAAGCAGTGCGATAAAAACAACAACACAGAGTTACATATGGGGTAAACAAAACATAAAGTCAAAAATACAACAGAAAATATATATACGGTGTGTGCGAATGTTATGGAGGTAAGGCAATAACTAGGCCATAGTGTAAAATAGTTACAATTTCGTATTAACACTGGAATGATACATGTGCAAATAGAGATACTGGGGTGCAAATTAGCAAAATAAATAACAATATGGGGATGAGGTGGGCTAATTTCAGAAAGGCTGTGTACAGGTGCAGTGATCGGTAAGCTGCTCTGACAACTGACGCTTAAAGTTAGTGAGGGAGATTGTGAGGGGTTCTCGATGCATATCCTAGTATTTCACCTTTAGTCTATAGCCCAAACCATTTCAACAAAACTATTTACCTTCTCTGTTTTCTCTTCTGGCTCGTCTTCGTTTAGAAACTCTCGTTTCGGGTAAGGTATCTGACATCCGGCAAACACACTACAGGAGAGAATGAGACGAGGGATACACACAATCAGTTGTTTGTGAAATAACTGAGTAGCTGGGTGTGGTGCGTACAAATATATATATATATATATTTTTTTTTTTTTTTTTTATATCTATGTCAAGAAACCAAATCACAACCAGACTGACCAAGATAAAAACAGGAAACTAGAAATTCAAAAAATACCAGACTACGAAAGGAATGATTTGGAAGTGGTCTGTTTTAAGTTCACTGAATCAACGACCTCCATTGTTAGTTTATCAAACAGACTTCTCATGGTGAAGATGTGAACGTGTTTATGTGTGGAGAGAGTGGCTATGATCATGACTGAGTTTGGAAAATAAAGTTTAGTAGGTCTCACTCGGAGGTTGGCAAGGGGTCCTCCAGGAAATATGGGTCCTGCAGTGCCTGTTCAGAAGTAATCCTTTTGGTGGGGTCCATTGTGAGGAGTTTCTGGAGCTGAAAAGTGGTGGATGAACACTAGGCTAGTGGTACCAAGCAAACCCAATCAGCCAGCTAGGCCTATTGGTTTTACAGCTCTTATATCTAGATTGGTCCTTATCCTATACTCTCCAGTGTAAATCAAGGTAGCAGTAGCATGCCCTCCATAAACTGGCAATAAAGTTCAAGCATCTAATGGTTACTAGAAGGTGTGCTTACCAACAGGAAAACCTTGCTGTCAGGTTTGACTTTATGCTTCTCCATGTATTTGATTAGGCTGCTATTTGCATACCTGTGAATGGGTGAAGCACAGCACAGGTAAAACAGACATCTTTAACGCAAGTGAATAGTCACAGAAGGCTGTCAGCCTGAGAGAAAGGCTCAAATGTGATGTTAGATGTGTGTGAAAGGTTCAGGTATCTTTTGACAGCCGAGAAAGCCCAGGTATTGTCAGAATGTCAAGCCTTCTCCACTCACGTCATTCTCCTGAAGTCTTTCTGAAGGGTGGGGTACTCAGGCATCTTCCTGATGTCTTCCCAATCTTTATCTGACCAATTCAAAAAGACAAAAAAACTTCAGTCACTTTAAAACCAATTCTTATACTTGCTGCCTTCAGAGGATAATGTAATCTACTGTACATATTGTATGACAACAAGTACATGAGAAGGACAAGGTTGATGATGACTTTACCAAATACTATACATCATGACTTTCATGACCGTGAGAATCTAACTGGGTTTTTACTTCATGTTTTACATGGTCTTATCAGGTGTGTGTGTGCTGGTCAGACCTGCTGGGAAGCCCATGACACTGAATATCCTGTCCAGCTGGTCGTGGTGGAATGGGTTACTGGTCTTAATGTCCTCCTGGCGACAGTGGAAGATGGGCTCCGACGTCAGCAGCTCCGCAAAGATGCAGCCGATCGCCCAAATGTCTGCATCAGATAGACAAGCAGTTAGCAATTAGACTGAGTGGTCTGAGCCTATACCTTAGCAGGGACGGACACAAAATAAACTCCTCTAAACTTGAAGGTGTATCCGAATCTCTCTCACACTAATGAGACTGGACAGTCACAGGAGTTTCCTCTTAAGAATTCTGCTTAAGAATTTGACTGTACCCTGTAATTACATCTGCGACCCTGTGCATGTGGCTAATAGACCCATCTAATCTAATTGTGATGGCTGTAGTGAATGCCTAAGGCTTTTAAGTGTGTTGATGTTCGAAGTTAGCGCTGTTCTGCCACGGAGCAGCGCCACAGAGTTCTATTGAGCAATGACCACTTTTTGATCATGCCTGTGATGACATTCCATTCAATCTAAAACATGCTACATTCTCAGAGTAAATCGTCCGTAACGTTTGAACCATATATGGTAGAGCCATCGGGTTGGGACTATTGTTTTTCTGACTGAATTCTCTATTGAATGGACATATTTGTATAAACCTTGAATGAATGAATCCTTTTATGGGTGAACTTTTGCCTTCAAAAGTATTCAGACCCCTTGGATTTCTTGTGTTATAAAGTGGGATTAAAATGAATTTAATTGATTTTTTTTGTCAACAATATACACAAAATACTATGTAATGTCAAAGTGAAATAATATTTAATTTTTTTATTAATAAAAAATGCAATAACTAAAATATAGTATAAGTATTCAGCTCCTTTGTTTAGGCAAGCCTAACTTTGTTCAGGAGTAAAAGTTGGCTTAACAAATCACATAAAACGTTACATGGACTCACTCTGTGGGAAATAATAGGGGTTGACATAACCCTTCCTCTGTCCCCATACATGCAACATCTGTAAGGTCCCTCAGTCAAGTATTGAATTTCAAGCACAGATTCAACTAGGGGCGGCAGGTAGCTTAGTGGTTAAGAGCGTTGTGCCAGTAACCGAAAGGTCGCTGGTTCTAATCCCCGAGCCTACTAGGTGAAAAATCTGTCGGTGCCCTTGAGCAAGGCACTTAACCCTAATTGCTCCTGTAAGTCGTTTTGGATAAGAGCGATATAAATACAAATTTTTAAAAACTACAAAGACCAGGGAGCTTTTTGAAAGCCTCGTAAAAACGGCAGTGATTAGTAGATGGTTAACAATAACAAATCTGACATTGAATATCTATTTAAATATGGTCTAGTTAATAATTATGTTGTCCATTATGTACAGTACCAGTCAAAAGTTCGGACACACCTATTCATTGAAGGGTTTTTCTTTATTTTGTACATTGTAGAATAATAGTGAAGACATCAAAACTATGAAATAACATATATGGAATCTTGTAGTAACCAAAAAAGTGTTAACAAATCAAAATATATTTTAGATTTTTCAAAGTAGCCACCCTTTGCCTTGACAGCTTTGCACACTCTTGGCATTCTCTCAACCAGCTTCATGAGGAATGCTTTTCCAACAGTCTTGAAGGAGTTCCCACATATGCTGAGCACTTGTTGGCTGCTTTTTCTTCACTCTGCGGTCCAACTCATCCCAAACCATCTCAATTGGGTTGAGGTCAGTGATTGTGGAGGCCAGGTCATCTGATTCAGCACTCCATCACGCTCCTTCTTGGTCAAATTGCCCTTACACAGCCTGGAGGTGTGTTTTGGGTCATTGTCCTGTTGAAAAACAAATGATAGTCCCACTAAGCGCAAACCAGATGGGATGGAGTATCGCTGCAGAATGCTGTGGTAGCCATGCTGGTTAAGTGTGCCTTGAATTCTAAAGAAATTACAAACAGTGTCACCAGCAACGCACCCCCACACCATCACACCTCCTCCTCCATGCTTCACGGTGGGAACCACACATGCGGAGATCATCCGTTCACCTACTCTGCGTCTCACAAAGACACGGCGGTTGGAACCAAAAATCTCAAATTTGGACTCAGACCAAAGGATAGATTTCCACCAGTCTAATGTCCATTGCTCGTGTTTCTTGGCCCAAGCAAGTCTCTTCTTATTATTGGTGTCCTTTAGTAGTGGTTTCTTTGCAGCAATTCGACCATGAAGGCCTTATTCACACAGTCTCCTTTGAACAGTTGATGTTGAGATGTGTCTGTTACTTGAACTCGGTGAAGCATTTATTTGGGCTGCAATCTGAGGCTGGTAACACTAATGAACTTATCCTCTGCAGCAGAGGTAATTCTGGGTCTTCCTTTCCTGTGGCGGTCCTCATGAGAGCCAGTTTCATCATAGCGCTTGATGGTTTTTGCGACTGGACTTGAAGAAACTTTCAAAGGTCTTGAAATTTTCCGGGTTGACTGACCTTCATGTCTTAAAGTAATATTGGACTGTCGTTTCTTTGCTTATTTGAGCTGTTCTTGCCAAAATATGGACTTGGTCTTTTACCAAATAGGGCTATCTTCTATATACCACCCCTACCTTGTCACAACACAACTGATTGGCTCAAACGCATTAAGAAGGAAATAAATTCCACAAATTAACTTTTAAGAAGGCACACCTGTTAATTGAAATGCATTCCAGGTGACTACCTCATGAAGCTGGTTGAGAGAATGCCAAGAGTGTGCATGGTGATGGTAGAGAACTGAGGATGGATCAACAACATTGTAGTGACTCCACAATAATGACCTAAATGACAGAGTGAAAAGAAGAACACAAATATACAAATATTCCAAAACATGCATCTTGTATGCAACAAGGTACTAAAGTAATACTTTTTGGCCTAAATGCAAAGCCCTATTTGGGGCAAATCCAACACAACACATCACTGAGTAACTTCTTATTTTCAAGCATGGTGTTGGCTGCATCATGTTGTGGGTATACTTGACATCACATCACATACTGGGGAGTTTTTCAGGATAAAAAGAAATGGGATAGTGCTAAGCACAGGCAAAATCCTAGAGCAAACCTGCTTCAGTCTGCTTTACACCAGACACTGGGAGAGTAATTCACCTTTCAGCAGGACAATAACCTACAACACAAGGCCAAATCTACACTGGAGTTGCTTACCAAGAAGGCCGTGAATGTTCCTAAGTGGCCAGTTTTACAGTTTTGACTTAAATCTGCTTGAAATACTAAGGCAAGACTTTAAAAGAGCTTGAAGAATAAAAAAATAATAATAATAGGCAAATATGGCACAATCCAGGTAGAGACTTACTCAGAAAGGTGTTTCTAACATGTATGTACTCGGGAAGCTGAATACTTATGCAACGACTATATTTGATTTATTATATTTGTATTAACTCTTATTTCTTATTTACATTTTTCTTCCACTTTGACATTAGAGTATTTTGTGTAGAGTGTTGACAAAAAATGACAATTAAATCCATATGAATCCCACAATAAAATGAAGAAATCTAAGGGGTCTGAATACTTTTGCAAGACACCGTATATGCCATTTATATTTGCCATTCCCAGGCAAGTATTCCTGGGATGTCATCTAGCTAATTATACACAAGAAGACACACCCCTCATGCAGTTAAAGACCATGCATCTCACTGCCTGTCAGGCCCAGCAGTCAACGACACCCACATGGTACTGTATATGTGAATGTCCACATGTGAATGCCCATGTATACTGAGGCTTACTAAAGCTGTTTATATGGCTCTGAGCAGAGCCGCCTCTTCCTATACGCAGACTAAGTGCTGCGCGTAGGGCCACGCGGCCAATAGGAGGCCCCATCTTTTTTCTTAGGAACTCAGTCGTGGTCTCAACTTTGATTGTTAGAAAAGTAGAATACACAAGGTGCAATTTCAACATTTGGTAGTGCATCAGCAGTTTTCCACTTGTTATGTAAGTCACTGACAGTCCCTCAGCTAATATTTTTGGGATTGCAATGTAAAGTAGTCTAGCCAGCTATTTAAACCTTGTAGTAATCATCACCAAATTACCGAACGGGCACGCAGGCCATGTGCCCAGGGGCCGTGACCTCCAGGGGGCCCACATTGATTTTGTTAGTCACTCTCACACAGATCATATGAATATGGCACAAGTACATTTACATTTAGATTTTAGTTATTTAGTAGACGCTCTTATCCAGAGCGACTTACAGTTAGTGAGTGCATACATTTTTCATACTGGCCCCCCGTGGGAATCGAACCCACAACCCTGGCGTTGAAAGAGCCATGCTCTACCAACTGAGCTACAGGAGGCCGAAATGTCATGGCAAAATGTGTAGAATTGCAGGAAATTAGATTTAAAACTGCAACATTTTCTCTCCACTCCATGGCAAAATGAGTAGAACTGCATGAAATTAGTTTTAAAACTACAAAATGTTCTCCGCCCCATGGAATTATTTGAGGAATTGCAGAAAATGTGCTTTGAAGTTCGACTTTGGGCACAAAAAAAGCCCCAACTCCGCCCCTTTCTCAATTTTTTAACAGAAATAGAGTGTGCCTTTGGTGGTTCGTCAATTTGTCATTCTGGTCATGCGCGCCGCGACCGACGTAGCTAGTTCGTTAGCTAAGCTAACAACTTTAGCTAGCCAGTAACTCCTCCAGTATGTGTTGACATAAAGGATTAATTTGGCTCTATACTCCAGCATTTTGGATTTGAGATCAAATGTTTTATAGGAGGCGACAGTACAGAATGTCACCATTTATTTTAGGGTATTTTCATACATATCTGTTTTACTGTTTAGAAATGAAAGCACTTTATGTATCTGGTTACTCCATTTAAAGGTGTCACAAGTATTTGGACAAATTCACTTACAGTGGGGAAAAAAAGTATTTAGTCAGCCACCAATTGTGCAAGTTCTCCCACTTAAAAAGATGAGAGAGGCCTGTAATTTTCATCATAGGTACACGTCAACTATGACAGACAAAATGATAATATTTTTTCCAGAAAATCACATTGTAGGATTTTTAATAAATTTATTTGCAAATTATGGTGTAAAATAAGTATTTGGTCAATAACAAAAGTTTCTCAATACTTTGTTATATACCCTTTGTTGGCAATGACACAGGTCAAACGTTTTCTGTAAGTCTTCACAAGGTTTTCACACACTGTTGCTGGTATTTTGGCCCATTCCTTCATGCAGATCTCCTCTAGAGCAGTGATGTTTTGGGGCTGTCGCTGGGCAACACAGACTTTCAACTCCCTCCAAAGATTTTCTATGGTGTTGAGATCTGGAGACTGGCTAGGCCACTCCAGGACCTTGAAATGCTTCTTACGAAGCCACTCCGTTGCCCGGGCGGTGTGTTTGGGATCATTGTCATGCTGAAAGACCCAGCCACGTTTCATCTTCAATGCCCTTGCTGATGGAAGGAGGTTTTCACTCAAAATCTCACGATACATGGCCCCATTCATTCTTTCCTTTACACGGATCAGTCGTCCTGGTCCCTTTGCAGAAAAACAGCCCCAAAGCATGATGTTTCCACCCCCATGATTCACAGTAGGTATGATGTTCTTTGGATGCAACTCAGCATTCTTTGTCCTCCAAACACGACGAGTTGAGTTTTTACCAAAAAGTTATATTATGGTTTCATCTGACCATATGACATTCTCCCAATCCTCTTCTGGATCATCCAAATGCACTCTAGCAAACTTCAGACGGGCCTGGACATGTACTGGCTTAAGCAGGGGGACACGTCTGGCACTGCAGGATTTGAGTCCCTGGCGGCGTAGTGTGTTACTGATGGTAGGCTTTGTTACTTTGGTCTCAGCTCTCTGCAGGTCATTCACTAGGTCCCGCCGTGTGGTTCTGGGATTTTTGCTCACCGTTCTTGTGATCATTTTGACCCCACGGGGTGAGATCTTGCGTGGAGCCCCAGATCGAGGGAGATTATCAGTGGTCTTGTATGTCTTCCATTTCCTAATAATTGCTCCCACAGTTGATTTCTTCAAACCAAGATGCTTACCTATTGCAGATTCAGTCTTCCCAGCCTGGTGCAGGTCTACAATTTTGTTTCTGGTGTCATTTGACAGCTCTTTGGTCTTGGCCATAGTGGAGTTTGGAGTGTGACTGTTTGAGGTTGTGGATAAGTGTCTTTTATACTGATAACAAGTTCAAATAGGTGCCATTAATACAGGTAACGAGTGGAGCACAGAGGAGCCTCTTAAAGAAGAAGTTACAGGTCTGTGAGAGCCAGAAATCTTGCTTGTTTGTAGGTGACCAAATACTTATTTTCCACCATAATTTGCAAATAAATTCATTAAAAATCCTACAATGTGATTTTCTGGAATTTCTTTCTCAATTTGTCTGTCATAGTTGACGTGTACCTATGATGAAAATTACAGGCCTCTCTCATCTTTTTAAGTGGGAGAACTTGCACAATTGGTGGCTGACTAAATACTTTTTTCCCCCACTGTATAGTGTATTAAATTAAGTAAAAACACACAATGACTACATCAAGCTTGTGGCTCACAAACTTGTTGGATGCATTTGCAGTTTGTTTTGGTTGTGTTTCAGATGATGTTGTGCCCAATAAAAATTAATGGTAAATAATGCATTGTGTCATTTTGGAGTCACTTTTATTGTAAATAAGAATATAATATGTTTCTAAACACTTCTACCTTAATGTGGATGCTACCATGATTACAGATAAACATGAATGAATCGTGAATACTCGTGAGTGAGCAAGTTATGCTTACGTATCTTTGTCAAGCAAAACGTTTTGTGGAAGGTACTACGATGCGTACAGTATGCAATAGGCTATCCTACACAATTGCGCACAGTAGCCTAGACTCATTGTCCAATCCGTCGCACAGAAACATATGAAAACATTAACTCATTACCTTGATGCTTTCTCGGTTAAATCTTCTAGACCCTGCTGCAAATCAAGCAGACAACAGCAGATAATCAAGTAAGTCTATTAGCCTATGTATAGCCTATTGAAGAACCACGCAAGTTAGAAGCATTCGATTTTGCAATCACATACATCATTTTGGATTTGTGTGCCCAAGAAAACTGTTTTCACATGCGAAGCCTAAAATATCAATATGAACATTTGATAAAGCGGTGCTGCCGTTAATAGCGTACCATCTCATAGACTCGACAATACTTTTGTTCCGCTGATGGCCCAAAAGGGGTCGATGGGTTTCGTATTCAGATGACTAAGCTTTCAGAACATTCATACCTAGCCTACTGGTCAATCAGCTCACAGTCGTCTGGACACTTTCCTATGCGCAGTTCAGTCATATTTCCTTCTCCTTTTCATATCCCAAAAATGCTACTAGTAGCCTATTGATACAGACTTTACATAGGCTATTGGTGCCGATCACTATAGCCTAATACTCCTCCAATCGATGGAAAGACTGCCGACAATCAGCGGTGCTGAACCTCTAATAATTAGCCTATCCTAAAAAACTCCTCATGTGCGGAAATGAATGAATCTGCACAGCCCTTGCTAAAGTCAATTATGATGTTTGAGTAGCTAGGCCTATTTAAGGAAATATCATAGGCCTAGTTTTATTATATTGATAATTAGATTATATAGAGCAAATTGAAAGGAAATGAATTATTACAAGGTTGAAATACCATTTATTTGTGTATATGTGCAAATTTTTTTATTGATTCATGAATGTACTAGTAGGCTTATGGATGACATTTTTCAAGTTATTTTCCCAACCCTGTTTTATTTGTTCTATACTGTCTAAAAGGAAGGCAACAAATGCAGCACATTTTTATTTATTTATTTTATACAATATTCTGCCCATTTCAAAAATTTATATAAAATATTATGCCCATATGAACAAATGTATATACAATATTGCAGCCTTCGCTGTAAAATATAACACGTTGCAGCGGTGCTTTGATAAGTTACAGAGGCATAAATATCATACATATATCATATTTGGGGGCATGAACTTTGTGCATCTGTAACTTTCTCACTCATCATTACTCACGATTCATTAATGATTATCCATAATCATGGTAGCATCCACATTAATGTAGAAGTGTTCAGAAACAGATTCTATGTACCTCTCATGTTAAGGCAAATGACTCACCGATTGCTTTGGTGTAATGTCGGGCCCCTAGCAGCAGCTCAGGGGCCCTATACCAGAACGTCACCACGACGGGGTCAAGGTCCGCCAGGGGTTTGAGAGGAGAGTTGAAGAGTCTGGCAAAGCCCATGTCAGCTAAAACGTGAATAAGATAGAGTGGGGGAAACACAACATAGTATCAACTTGAATTAATGACAATGAAAAACAGGGCGGCCTCAACTCAAGGCTACTCTACTCTCCATGTCTTAAGCCAGGAGAGCCCTATCAGAAGAGACTTGATAGTGACTAGCAGCACAAGCATTCCAAGCAGCCTTTGACCTGGTATTTCAGTGAAGGAGGTAGTGTTTGGTTTCAGGGATGATCCCTGGCTCTGTTGAGCAAGCTATATTGTTGGCAATGTATAGCTTGTCAAAGCCACCACGCTTGAATTCCACAGCCTTTTCTCTCTCACAAGAGCAGGCTAATCAAATCAAATGTATATATATTTGGATTGAAGTCCAATCAAAATATACTGTATGCTGGTGTTTATGTCAATGCTGTCAGTAAGTCATCTTATGGGCCAGGTCTGCACAGAACCTGGAGTCTATGTCAGGGTCTGTGGTCTTATGGGAAGGTCTTATTTCTGTAGTCTTATGGGAAGGTAATTCTCTATTATGGGTAAGTCTTCTGTGTCTGTGCAAGACCCGAAGTGAAGTCTGGTGTGGTGTGATGGGTGTCACCAGGGGGATCCTGTGACTCTAAAACAATAACTTAGCACGAACACTAGACTCTCAGGGTTAGGGTATAAATAGAGTCCAGCCGGACTGCAGACCTGTGACATCATCCCAAAATAGTGCCATGCTGGGGAGTGGGTTATGCAATAGTGTGATCAGTGTCATGTGGCCATTTTAAGCCCCTCTGCCTGCCCCTGTGTCTCTGTGTTCAGAAACCCTCTCAGAGTCTGGCTGAAGGTTAAACGATGTAGCCATTGTACGCTCAGTCAAGTCAACAAACTCATTTATCTATGGTCACATCATTCAGCTGTTTTGCTCACATTTAATTTACATTAAAATGTGAATACAAATAATATAAGTACACATACATTATCTCTGTCAACCTACTGACAGTTTTAAGCCTTTAATCACTGAATCAGCAGCCCGCTCCATCAATCATCTACAGTGTATTGACTTCAGTACATTTAGCCCATCTTACCGATTTTCACCCATCCTCGTTCTGGGCCCTCCCCCATTACCAGAATGTTGGCTGGTTTCTAGAGGAGAGAGAGACAAATAGTCAACTATCTTCTGTATGTGCTTCAGCCTTCAGGGAAGCCTCAGAGGCTCCAAGTCCAACTAAGAAAACACAACATAGAAATAAGGTTACATTCACTTTACAGGTGTGAAGGAAAATGTTTGTGCTTTTCTAATAACCAGTTCGACTGGGTTCATGCAAGTGACTGATTGATCGTGCCTGGGAGGAATCCTCACTATCAGTATAAGTAATTTGGCAGTACGCCCAGAACATTGCTTTGAGAACCGAAACGAGGTATCTCAGTTTCTAGGTCTCAGCTTGGAGAGAGGAAGCTTCGTGAGATATTGGTCGGTTACATGAATGAACCAAACGTTAATGGATGAATTAATTATGAGGCAACCCCAATAAAACATTTTGGGGGGGCACATGGCATGGACGACGGGGCTGCTGGAGGCAGCTACAGGGCGCATCTGCGATTTAGGAGAGGAGGCCACCAGGTTTGGGGGGCTGAAAGGGTGGTTGGCGGAGCCTAGAGGTAGAGCAGAGCCAACTCCCCGTACTCAGGCTAGGCAGCGTGAGACTGGGCAGGTTCAGAGTTATGCGGAGCTACGTACTGTGCTGCGAGTGTTCCGGCACAGTCCGGTACGTCCTGTGCTAGCACCACGCACGTGTCGTGCTAAGGTGTGCATGCAGCCAGGACGGAGTGTGCCGGCTCAACGCTCGTGGCCTCCAGTACCCCTCCTCGGGCCCGGATATCCTGCGCCAGTGCCACGTGCTGTAGTGTCAGTACGAGTGCACAGCCCTGTACGTCCTGTGCTGGTGCCTCACACAGAGTGTGTGGAAATAGGCATTCAGCCAGGACGGGTTGTGTCAGCTCTCCGTTCCAGACCTCCAGTCCGTCTCCACAGTCCAGCCCGGCCTGTTCCTGTCCCTCGCACCAAGCCTGTGGTGCGCGTCGCCAGCCCGGTCCGGCCCGTTCCTGCTCCCCGCACCAAACCAGTGGTGCGCGTCGCCAGCCCGGTCCGGCCCGTTCCTGCTCCCCGCACCAAGACAGTGGTGCGCGTCGTCAGCCCGGTCCGGCCCGTTCCTGCTCCCCGCACCAAGCCAGTGGTGCGCGTCGCCAGCCCGGTCCGGCCCGTTCCTGCTCCCCGCACCAAGCCAGTGGTGCGCGTCGTCAGCCCGGTCCGGCCCGTTCCTGCTCCCCGCACCAAGCCAGTGGTGCGCGTCGTCAGTCCGGCACGGTCCGTGCCTGTTCCACCGGTGCCTGGTCCGGCACCGGTCAGCTGCTCCACACCGGAGCCAAAGCAATCCGCTCCACCGATGTCCAGTCCAGCTCCGGCCAGCGGGGCCAGACCAGACCAGGGGCGCTACGGGGGGGTAGAGAGAGAGTGGTGGTCACGCCCGGAGCCGGATCCGCCTCCGAGGCGGAATGCCCACCCGGCCCCTACCCTCTTGTGTTTGGTTGGCGCGGTCGCAGTCCGCGCCTTTGGGGGGGGGGGGGTACTAGAGTCTGGGGACTCTTATATGTTGAGCCAGGGTGTGGATTTTCTATGTGTTATTTTCTATGTTTTGTTCTAGTTCGTGTATTTCTATGTTGGCCAGGGTCGTTCCCAATCAGAGGCAGCTGATTCTCGTTGTCTCTGATTGGGGGCAATACTTAGGCAGCTTGTTTGGCACTGTTTATTGTGGGATCTTGTTCCGTAAGGTTTGTTTTGGTGTATAACCTAGGACTTCACGTATCGTTTGGTTTGTTGTTTTGTTTGTGTGTGTTAAGTACGTTAATTAATAAAGATGTACGCTTATCACGCTGCGCCTTGGTCCGCTTCATCCTGTAACGATCGTGACACGGGACTACCCCGGGGGAGCTCCCGACTGACGTGTACTATGGTGCATTGAGTTTGTTGGAACCTCTCCAGCTTGCTGAAAATAAATAATGATTCATTTATTATTGACATCAGGCGTCCCTGGTGGTAATTTCCATGACACAGGTTTATAAAATAATAGACTAAAATGTCATGCATGTCCAATGACTTTTAGAAGGGAGGTTTGGGCAATACCAGTGTAACATACAAATAACAGAGGCAGAGCATGCCAAATGGAAAGTAAGTTACGCTACTGACCTCCACACTGCCAAAGACAAAAAAAGAGGTCAAACTATTACGGTGAAAGATTGCTCCATCAATGATTCTACTGATCGTTGATATCAAGGTCTACCATGGTGTTGAAGCATGCCTGTGCCTTTGGGACATTGCTTCCAACAACACAATAATGTTCTCTGTCTGAGTCTGTGTTTTGGGGCTTTGGGGAGGCATGATATTATGGTGCCCTGTATATAGCTCTGTGGTTTACTTGCATGACACCAGAACCACCTAGCCAATTTAATCCCGGACACATTGAGAAGCATGAAAAAATATGAATCTAGGCCAGACAGTTTGTGTACCAACAATTCAAATTGCAGAGTATATATTTACATTATATGTACACCTACACTACCGGTCAAAAGTTTTAGAACACCTACTCATTCAAGGGTTTTTCTTTATTTTTACATTGTAGAATAATAGTGAAGACATCAAAACTATGAAATAACACATATGGAATCATGTAGTAACCAAAAAAGTGTTAAATAAATCAAAATATATTTGAGATTTGAGATTCTTCAAATAGCCACCCTTTGCCTTGATGACAGCTTTGCACACTCTTGGCATTCTCTCAACCAGCTTCACCTGGAATGCTGATTAGGGCCTCATTTATTTAAATTGACTGATTTCCTTATTTATTTATTTATTTAGTCATTTAGCAGACGCTCTTATCCAGAGCGACTTACAGGAGCAATTAGGGTTAAGTGCCTTGCTTAAGGGAACATCGACAGATTTTTGCCCTAGTCAGCTCGGGGATTAGAACCAGCAACCTTTCGGTTACTGGCACAACGCTCTTACGCACTAAGCGAACTGCCGCTCCGTTATATGAACTGTAACTCAGTAAAATCATTGAAATTGTTGCATGTTGCGTTTATATTTTTGTTCAGTATACATTAGCCATACTGCACATTCATGTCATCTAAGTGTAAAAGGTACACAGCACATCCAAAACTCATCGTCAATTGAGTGTGTCATTCTGTTCCAATGACTATGCTCACACAGTAGGCTACCTGCCCATTGTTTATTTAATCATGTATCCATCAATCGTCTGTCAGTCCCCTGAGTCTGTGTGTGAATCTTAAACTCATAGGATTCAGTCTCCTCAATAAACAGGGGCTGTTGCTATAGGAACCCCACTAATAATGAGCTCTATTATTCAAACACACAACAAAACACCGCCATCGGCAAACACAATGACGACTCCCTCGAGGAGGGTCTCTTTTCACTCCCAAATGACTGGCACTGGCTCCTCTTTCAAATTCTAAATAACTGGGCTAATAATTTACATTCAGGCCAAAGACATTCCTTTTCACTGACCCTACGTTTAAAGAGATCATATTTCCATACAGGTGAACAATAATTATCAAAAAGCTCACATAAAAACAGAGATTGGATGAATGGGCAATGAAAAAGTAAACTGATTACTGAATTGAGGTTGTAATATTGCTGTCTGATATTGTTTTTCTACAAAAGTTTGGATTTTATAGACTCTAACATGTGCTTAGCTTCCCAGAAATGTAAGGAGGTTTCGTGAGAATGGGACCGGAAAACAAATATCCCTGAAAATTCAATCCCTAAGGAGGTGCCTGTCTTTCACAAAAAACATACCCCCCCTGTTGAGTCAAAAATAGCCCTGTTTTTGGCAAGCAAGTCTATCTTTACATGTACTGGGAACCATACAGCAGTGCTATTATTAATTCAGTGTCTTTGACCTTGCTTTCGCTGTAGTAGTATTTTTTCTTCTTCTTCCTACATGTCTTATGATTAAGTAACGACCCGTTTTTTCTCGGCACACAAGCATTAACCATTCTACTATCAGAACCACATTCCTTACTGCACCATGAGTTATAGCAGCGCAGGCCTGCCACAGCCCACTCCACACAGGATATAGACCTAGGGAGGGAACACACAGTACATATTCAGACAAAGGACAGTTGGTGTGGATGCTGTTTTTCCTAGACATTTCCTAGTGGCACATGTAGCACGTGACTACGGGGAGCCAGGGATTACTCCAGCTATGAACAATATTCCATTACATCAGCGGGCACGTCCTTTATTAGTCATGAAAACGAGCCATCATAGGCAGGTGAGAGAGAGAGAGCGAGAGAGAGCAGCCTAGCACATATATTTGCTGCAGCTGAAACCTGACTTTACTCTCAGTGTAACGTGGATACAGGATGTACATATTGACTTTCTTTAAGGCATTTTCAACCTCAAACATTTGTTTCTGGCAGAGATAGGAATTATTGCAGTATTCAGGTAAAGATTTGGCTTGGAGTACAGCTGCAGTCAGCATGGTGGGGGAGGGATCCAACTGCTCTGGCTGGTGTGGGTTACATAACTTAGGCAGGAGCAGGGGGCGGGGCTGCTTGGCTTGCTGGAGAGGAGGGGTAGGGTAGACTGGTTTCTCTGCAGCGCAGCACAAGGTTGAGTGTTGCATAACAGGCAAAGTGAGTGGTGGAGGGAGCAATGAAAGACATGCAGTTACTCGTATCTACCCCTGTGGCTGTTGATAAAAGACTGAGTCGCTTGAATAACTATTCCCCCAGGAGATTAGGAATGCTGCCCGCGGTACTCCCTCCTCTAGCCTAACTCTAACACACCTCCCCCAAAATTACTGGGGAGTAAAAATGGATAGAAAACCGCCCCATATCCAGGCGGGGTGGAATGTGGCATTTTTCAATGAACAGCAAAATCCGAGGTATACGTCTAGAAAGTGGTAGAGAAGGGGACTTGACTCTTTCGTATTCAGGACAATTTCACAATGAAAAGGCCAACAAACTTATTGTGCAAAACAGATACTCACATATGCCAATTCCCAACACCAGCAGCTTGAGAGTGGAATTTGCATAGGCCTTTATCCACAATAGCAGGAAGTGCTAGCTTTGAGAAAGCACATTAAACTGCAATACATCAACCTTTATCTGGAATCAGATACAGAGAAAGTGACAACTGAGAAATTCATCTTGTGGCTAAGAAAATAGTTAAGGGCCGGAAGAGTTGATGTTCAGGTTAAGGAGAGTTTGACCTCCAATGAAATGAGCAAAACAGCACTAGCTACTGTGGGAGTGTGTTTTAATTCCAGCAGTAGCTATAGCTAGATGCTGACCATGTACAGTACACTCATAGAAAAAAGGGTTCCAAAAGGGTTATTCGGCTGTCCCCATAGGAGCACCCTTTTTGGTTCCAGGTAAAACCCTTTTGGGTTCCATGTAGAACCCAAAAAGGGTTTTTCAAATGGTTCTCCTATGGGGACAGCCGAGGAACCCTTTTAGGTTCAAGATAGCACCTTTTTTTTTTTTCCAAAGAGTGTAGTACTGACAAAAGCCCTGGCCTCTGCTTAGATAAAGGCTTGCTTGTGCAACAGGCAGGCAGCTAGGGCAGGACTAACCCTAAGCCTATTAGTGTTCGAGGTCAGACACATGAAATCAAACACACAAGAGCATTTCCGTTTTGTCCATTCTGTTGTATCCTGGATGATTCATTAACCACATATATTGACCAGGCATTAAATACCTGCTTATGCTATGGAATCTCTAAGCAGAACTATAGCAATCCGCTATTACCATGTCATAAACTGCTTAGCAATGCCCATCATCAACAGCGTGGTCCACTATCTTCTGAATGTTATCAATCAGATTTCAACTCCAAAAGAACCCCACCAATAACAGTAAGCCTACAGGCCATTAATAACAGTATGACTACAATACATACATGCTCTGTAAACTGCATCTCTGCATTTCTCCACTCAGACTGATGTGGTAGGCCCAGTGACTGAGGCAGAGGCCCTGATTGATAGATCCCACTGTATTTAGCACCACGCTGCCATCTGGGAGAGCTGAGAGAGATTACATAAGAAGGGAAGGCCTGATGGAGGCCTTATAAGATTCCTGTAGCTGTGGGATTTGCAGATTCACTCTCTGATTTGCTCTGCCTCTCCAGTGACGGAATGAATCGGAAGTCACGTCATTTGACTGACTCAATTAGTGTGCAGGGAGTGAACATCAAACAGCTAGCATCAATGAGTTAGAATAGATAAGATGATCTACTACCCGTTCATCCATCCACGTACATGATGCGTTTTCTTATCAGGAACATATCTTTGCAACAGTCCACTACTACTCATTGCAATTATCCTGTGTTCACTGCTATCAATATAATAATGACACAGCCGGTGCCGCTAATAGCAACTCACACTGGCTGGCATTACACAAACTATTGGCTTTCCATAAGCAAGTTGGCGTGTGTTATGCTTTTGTTTTATGGTGTTATACGGTGTTATACAGTGTTATAACAATGTAATATAGCCTAGCCCTTATCATAGAATGTCCAAGTTGCACCATAATATGTTGGGTTTAAGCCAATCAGATGATCAAAAAATATTCTCAAGCTACAAAAAAAAAACGTCTTAATAAGGAGCTGCAGAGAGAGATGAGAGAGAGCTCCTGTGTTGCAAGAACCTGATGAGGTTTCCACAGCCAGATAAGAGAATGTGAGCAAGAGAACAACCCTGTGACCTTGCTGCAGCTGGGCCCAGGACTAACTCTGACCTTCCGTTACAATGAGCCCAGCAGAGGTAGGTGAACAGCCTGGCCTTCCAGGAAAACACTGTGCAGCGGTGCATGAGTAAAATCACTGAGGAAGCCAAGCCAGAAAAAAAAAGGCATATTACAACCTGTTGTGATAATTGCGCTGTTTGCTCTATAACCTGTTAGTAAGTCGCTCTGGATAAGAGCGTCTGCTAAATGACTAAAATGAAAATGTAAATATCCCTTGCCACCGTGATATATAGGCCTAAGGACAAGACAATGAGAAGACACAGTGGCAGAATATATTCAACCACACCTCTGTTTCATCACAAAACCAGAGAGCAACATCTGCCCACAAACAAACAGTTACACTACAGCATGGTCAAGCAAGTTAATGTTTTCAACATTTTCGGAATACTAAACAACTATTGATTTAGAACCACAGAGAGTTACCGCAAGTCACAAAGAAAACAGGAGCTGCCTCCACTATTCCAGCACCATTTCAACTTCAATATTTCATCATCCTCAAATCACCTATGTTTAGTCTATTACAGTGACAACTAAGATACCAAGAACAATTTAGTCCAATCAATGAAAGCGAAATATGATATGGCTGTCCATGGTACTTATTTCTGTGTGTGTGCGTGCGTGCAAGTAGAAAAAAACATGTTGACTCACCCAGAAACACCAATGCTATCCTCCTCTCTTTCATGACTCTGTCATACACAACACACTTTCATTTTTGTTGTTCTAGCCTACCTGGCTAAAATGCTTGCTCGCTAGCTTAACTTCCTTTCATGGGCAACGATGTGCCAGGCCAGCTAGTTAACATTAGCCTACTACAATCTAGCTACACATTGAACTTCCATCCTCTCAGGCCAGGGTCCCAATGTATGAATTTATGGTTAAATCAGAATCGTCGTTATAATCATTGGCCAGGACAGATAATTACGTAAAACCAAAGTCCAAATCCCCATCTCCATCCATGGCTAATTTAGGAAAGGGACAATTTTTGCTAGCTAGCTAGCCACCGGAGGACAACGCCACAAAGAGATGCAAAAATTAAAAACAATTATGTAAATAATGTTTGGCTTGTGATTGGTGTGAAGCCAAATCCAAACTGGCTTCCCTTTAAACTTTTTTTTTGGTGCACCGGGACCATTCACAGTTGAGCTCACTCAGTTTAGGTCAACGTTGATTGGGTATGATTTTATAATTTTTTTATCAAGGGAAGCAAAATGCTCGCTGGCTTCTCTTGCATTCAATGCTATGGGTGGCAACAATGTCATACCCTTGTTGACCAGACAGCATCATATAGATGGCCTACATATACTGAGACAGAGGGGTGCTGTTTCACTCGCTCGCAAGGTTTCTCCGGTGAGATAAATTCAGCCTCTTGCGAAATGAAGGACAATTATGAAACACAGACAGACGAAAGACACATTTTTATTTTCTTTTTTTCTTGGTCAATTCTTTGGGGAAGCCTGGCTTCCCTTGGCATCCATGAATACACACCACTGAAAACACTGTGGGAAAACTGTGGGGGAGAAAATCTCACATGGGTGCTAGAGTACAGGCTGGGTGGTGGTGGTTGGTGAGGGTAGGGGAGCAGAATTGACAACATTAACCAGCCGAGACACTTTGTTCCACAGCCAAAGGCTTTCAAATCCTAATAATAAACTGTACAAGGATTTAACAGCACCTTTGCCAGAACATAACAGGATTCAGTTAGCTGGCGAGAGGGTTTCTTTTAGGATCGTTTTTGCAGTGGACACCACTCATTGCTGCTCCTAGATATGCAAGTAAACAAGTGACTTATTTGCATGCATCCTATTGGTTAAAAGCAGCCTGTATCAAAGTTCAGATCAATGACCAATAGGAAAAGGACAGATCAGTAAAGACTGATCAGTGGATGAGGTGTCAGTGAGCAGGTGTAGCAACACTGTAAAGGGACACTGGTACTACACACTACTCACCAGATCCCTGTGAAGCACCCAGTTGGCATGAAGGTAATGGATCCCGTCCAGAATCTGATACAGGAGAGACTTGACCATCCCTCTCGGCAGCTGCATGGGCTTCTTATTGGCCTTGGAGGCTCGATGGAACTTGATGATGTGCTGAAAGGAGACCAGAGGGAGTGGCGTAGAGAAATTGATCAAGCAAGGGACTCAAACACCTAGGTTCCACAACATGCATACATACTGGTACATCATGTACCGTACACTGCCCTTTACAGACAGGAAAACGTCAAGAACAAAGATGAAACAACAGACAGAGCAGGTTGATGAAACATCCAAACAAAGAACAAAGACTGGTCGTCAGACTGGTGGTCATGATGAATCACTTACCCAGAGGTCATGCTCGGCATAGTCGAAAAGGAGCCACACCTTTCTGTCACTGTGAGACAAGAACACTTTCTGCAGGCCAATCACGTTGGGGTGTTTCAGCTCTCGTAGCAGCTGCAACACACAGTAAGAGCTTACATTAATATTCAATAGCAAAAAACAGCTATTTCAATGCACCTTTATTAACCCACTGGGCACACACTGGTTGAAACCACGTTGTTTCAATGAAATTAACGTGGAATAGATGTTGAATTGACGTCTGTGCCCAGTGGGAACACATTGTGAATTATTGCACTGACAAGAGTCATTCATGTCATTCAGGTTTTACACTAATCGGATGCAACAAGTATAACAGGTTTTCTGCATGCTGTAAGCTACTGTATATGCCTGATTTAAGCTCTTATGTCCTAGCTCACAGGAACACCTAACCGATAAAGACACAAACCATGGACTTTAATTCATTCAACTGACAAAGGGAAATTACACACAAAGGAAGAGTGAAATTCATGAGGGATTTCCACACCACTTTAATCAGATAAGGGAACACATGTTGTTGCTGTTGTGAACTCTCCATCCCACTCCAACCATCAGACTATGCAGCCAGCCCAGCCCAGAGCTGTGTGTCCATGGATTCATTCCATCAAAGGGATGGCCCCGCATGCGTTAACTGCTCTAGTCTCTCCACTGAACACTGTGTGCCATACTAATGGGTCCAAAGCACCCCTCCAGTCTGTCTTCACTATACAGTCCTAACATAAAGAAATTATACTCCTACACACTAAGGACACTGTATTACTGCCCTAAGATAATGACATTACACTCCTACAAACTCAGCTGTTTCTCTTCATATTCATCCCTCCCAGCTTCTTTCGTCAGCGGAGGCACTCTCGGACAAACAACTGAATCCATAATCAATCGAGCCCTTTAGATAGACTACGATGTCGATGGGGGAGGGGGTTGTGTGTGTGCGCGCGTGTGGTAGAGAAAGACCTGAAACGGTCCGTAATCCAGCTATCCAGCGAATGAATTATTCACCCCTAGGGCTAATGTGATTACTCTGTGTCACCTGACCTGAAATCTCATGGAAAAATACTTCAGTGTGAGTGTCCCTCCGTGCGATCCTGACGATACCTTACACTAAACATGCAGCAAGGGCGTTGGCTCGAGCTAGGGCATGGTTGGTCTGACTAATCAAGCTGCAATGCACAATGAATGAGTATATACAGCTTGAGACATTTGTGTGCAAAATGGTGTAAATAAAATTACATTTAAACTTGCTCTACCGGTTGTCTGTGTGGTTTGTCCTTCTGCTGCTCAAAAATTTAGAGTAGTGTTATTAACCTGACTTTCAGTACGCTGGTCTGTATATTGGTTTGTACTTCCGGTTTTATTTTCAATACTGATGCAATTCGCACGTGCAAACACTTGCACAATATGGCCGAGCCTAACCGAATCACAGACCGAATGGCAAACACTTCCCGCTGATTGCGAGGAAACGTGCTTCGGTCGACTACATTCGGTTACATTCGGCTATTGTTTACATATTGTGCATCACGTGGAATGAGTCAAGAGAAAATATAAGCGACAGAACCTACCAGCGCCACAAAAAGTCAGGTAAACAACACTTTCCTGTGGATACCCTATCTCCACCTCCTACTGCTAAAAGGACCAACAGCACGAACAACAGGTAAAGTCACCTCAAACATCATTTTATTCAACATTCTGGCTTGTAGAGACTATCACGTCTTTTTTCCAGTGACTTCTTTCAGACTGATATCCATGGAGTAACCATGGTAACAGTCTGATGTTTAGGCAAGGGCACGGTCGGCTGTAATTTCAGAGTGTCCGCCGATACGGATAGAGAGGGTTATAGCGGGGGGCGGGGGGGGGGGGGGTGGCTCTCTGCATTGACAGTGTACTATATATCATGCACACACGAAAGCACACGCACAAGCACACACACACACACACACACAGTCTCCCCCCTCGGTTCTACCCGCAAGGCGGGCTAGTACTGTAGTAGTAAGCTTAAAAGGTGAGGGGTGGAATGAACAGTGAACACAGAGCAGGGGGAATAATGCTGTGATTGTATGCAGCATGTTTGATTTGGCATTTGGATGGGGGAAATGAGGAGGGTTATTGAGGTTAGTGTTTAATCACAGCCTAATCCCTGGGTTATCACATGGCATTGTGCTAATGAGCCCTGGCCTTAGAGGCAGACTCCCGGCTCTGTGACGCTGGCCACACTGACCGGACTCAAAGAGCCACAAGGACTAGCTGCCCCACAAGACCAATTCTGGTTTGTAGGGCTGGCACAATTATTGTATAACCATGTAACCGACGGTTATGGATGAAGACCATAATGAAAATAAAATAACCAGCCGGGCATTCATGCTGAAACTAGCCAGGTGTTGTAGCAAACAAGTCTTCAGTTGCCTAGGCAACGCCCCCCTCCCTGCAGCAGCAGCACACATAGAAATATAATGAATAGAACATGCTTGGAACCTCTAAACCTGGCAATTTGACTGGTAAACTCATAGGTACACTCACAATGGCTGCCTGGTATTGTGATGCAATCATTTCCATGGTAATGTTGAATGTTTATTCAGATGATGTGAACTGATGTGGTTCATGAAATGGAATGTATTTTTTGTAATGTCAGTTAAATTGAATCAACAAACCACAGCACATACTGATGGGTACACTTCCTGCTTTTAGTCCCTGGGGAAACCTGTTCTATTCATTCTATTTTTATGGCAGCACACGCAGTCAGGAGCGGAGCAGAGGAGACATTTTTATTTTGCTATTCGAAGGTTATTACACCACATGACCAAAAGTATGTGGACACCTGCTCGTCGAACATCTCATTCCAAAATCATGGGCATTAATATGGAGTTGGTCCACCCCTTTGCTGCTATAACAGCCTCCACTCTTCTGGGAAGGCTTTCCACTAGATGTTGGAACATTGCTGCAGGGACTTGCTTCCATTCAGCCACAAGAGCATTAGTGAGGTCGGGCACTGATGTTAAGTGATTAGGCCTGGCTCGCAGTCAGTGTTCCAATTAATCCCAAAGATGTTCGAAAGGGTTGAGGTCAGGGCTCTGTGCAGGCCAGTCAAGTTCTTCCACAACGAACTTGACAAACCATTTCTGTATGGACCTCGCTTTGTGCACAGGGGCATTGTCATGCTGAAACTGGAAAGGGCCTTCCCCAAACTGTTGCCACAAAGTTGGAAGCACAGAATCTTCTAGAATGTCATTGTATGCTGTAGCGTTAAGATTTCCCTTCACTGGAACTAAGGGGCCTAGCCCGAACCATGAAAAACAGCCCCAGACCATTATTCCTCCTCCACCAAACTTTACAGTTGGCACCATAGTAGCGTTCTCCTGGCATCCGCCAAACCCAGATTCGTCCGTCGGACTGCCAGATGGTGAAGTGTGATTCATCACTCCAGAGAACGCGTTTCCACTGCTCCAGAGTCCAATGGCGGCGAGCTTTACACCACTCCAGCCGATGCTTGACATTGCGCATGGTGATCTTACGCCTCAGTCACACCGACAGCGTCATTGCATTTTGGTACACCAGAAGTACATTCATTTCCAATGGAACGCTGCGTTTGTCTTGCAGCATTGCATTGCAGAGGCAGTTGCAGTGCGTTCTGTGGTGCATACGTTGGATTTATCAAACATATGCATCAAACTGTATGCATAGACGGCTTGACAGAAATGGTAGCAGAAGGTGAATGTTGAACTTTTGTTGTATACATATCCAGATGATGCTGCGTACCATTTTGCGCAATGACGCTGTCGGTGTGATCGAGGCGTTAGGCTTGTGTGAGGCTGCTTGGCCATGGAAACCCATTTCATGAACCTCCCGACTAAAAGTTATTGTGCTGACGTTGCTTCCAGAGGCAGTTTGGAACTCGGTAGTGAGGGTTACAACCGAAGATATTTACGCAGTACGTGCTTCAGCAATCGGCGGTCCCGTTCTGTGAGCTTGTGTGGCCTACCACTTCGCGGCTGAGCCGTTGTTGTTCCTAGACGTTTCCACTTCACAATAACAGCACTTACAGTTGACCGGGCCAGCTCTAGCAGGGCAGAAATTTGACGAACTGACTTGTTGGAAAGGTGGTATCCTATGACGGTGCCACGTTGAAAGCCACTGAGCTCTTCAGTAAGGCCATTCTACTGCCAATGTTTGTCTATGGAGATTGTATGGCTGTGTGCTCGATTTTATACACCTGTCAGCAACGGGTGTGGCTGAAATAGCCTAATCCACTAATTTGAAGGGGTTGTCCACATACCTTTGTATATATAGTGTATGGTGACCGCTTCATTTGGCTGGCCAATAACTGTCATTCAAAATTCTATGGCCGTCACACAGCTGGTTTCTCATAGTACTCATAGTACAGTGTTCAACAGTATGCACTGTTTAGAATCAGCTAAACTAATAAACAGGGATCCTGTGCAGTCACATGACTACGAAATGTCTAGAGGTAATTTTGTTATAATAAAGAGCAAACAGTATCTGGTATATCAACACATTGTATTTATCCTGGGGAAGTCCAGGCTATGCATACAGTACAGTCCTATAACAGTGCTGGTTTTTCATCTTAACATTTTAGTATAATACTCAATCTATTTTGACACAGACTCAATAAGCTTATTGCAGTGAGTCCATCACAGGGGAGTGGACCTTTGTAGAATCACTCCAATCTGAAGTGAATTTGAGAGCACAGAACAAGAGTAAAGCCAGGGTAGTGCAACAACAACATACTGTAACCAGGAGGACAGCCTCTGTCAATGTTCATGTTCCTTTACAGGGGGCATCACCTTAGTCAAACCTCACTGCCGTAATCAGATGCCCGTAATCCACTCTCTCTCTCTCTGGGCCACAGGAAGCAAAATGGCAGCTGTCCCAGGGGACATTTTACTGCGCTGAGTAAAGAAAACTCTTACTCAGCCTATTTATGGGGTCAAGATGAGGTCCTACCTACAGTGGGGTTCAAAATTGACACCCTTGATAAAGATGAGCAATATTTAATGACTGTATAAAATAAATAATTCAAATACTGAGCTATATTGTACACAACAAAAAGGAAATTGTATTATTTT